TAGCCTAGAAAGTATAGTCTCCGACCACACTCTTTTTCCAGACTTGACAGCAACAATACCCGATGTAATCCCACAAGTGGGTTCTGGGTAGGGTGGTGTGTATGCAGACCGTCGAGAGGTTGTTTCCGACAAACCCTCGGCTCAAGTAAACTAAAGCATATGAAAGCAGTTTTGAAAAGGAATGCAGTAGTGAAGAAGCCACGATCAAAATAACATAGACGAGAAAAGTAACAACAACAAATCATACGATAATTGTAGCAAAAAAGACAACGAATAATAAAATCGAAGAATAAGATAGTCATATTCCAGACTCAAGATTCTCAAATTTACTTTGATCACTGCTGCATATGGGGTTTAGTAGGAAGCAGGTCCCATAGTCTAGAAGAAATGAAGTTCTATTTTGCCGAAACAAACTAACTAGGTTGTTACATGTTAAAACAGTGATCCTTCTTCTCCCATTTTGTTCCCTACCAAACAACTAACTAGATTTGCTAAGTGTACACTCCAAAATACATGGCTTTCTTAATCTTCCTCGCTTCCTCAATACAAACAAGCATGAACCTACATACCTTGTATCTGTCAGATGCATCAACATTGTTTGAGAGATCTACTTGTAAGGAGCAAATAAGATTGATGAGTTGTGGCCACCAAATCCAAATGAATTAGATAATGCCACCTTAATATCCAGTCGTTCCTTTATGGGACCAACAAGTATATTTGTATCCTGTTTCATTGATATTACATATCATCAGATGCGGTGATTACCAGGTCAATAAAAAGTAAAGCTGAAATAGTAAAACAGGGGAGACATGATATATCAAATGGTTTGTATATTCATGTCACAAAAGAATCTGTCTTGGTTGCCATATCAGAGCAAAGCCCTACTAATGCAGACAATGTGAATCAAACTAATAGACTTGTGAGTCATACTCGTAGTTTCATTGCCATAAAAGGCTCCACTGTAAACCAGCTTTTGGCGATATAGTAAAAAATTCAGAGAAGCTGCTAAGTTAGACTTAACTAGCTGGTCAAGCCATTAAGTGTAACCAACTGCATGCTCTTGATACAGCAAACTTTCTTAGCAGTTTCTTGTGATAAAATTCTTTATGTATGATGATATTCCATGCTTAAATGAACAAGAATTTGTTGACAATGCACACAATATAGATCCTTACCACGCCTTCATCTGGGTTTTCAAGATTAATATTTGGATGAACCCAACCAGTTCGTATTGCCTGAGAAGTCCAATTCCAACCGTCAGTCAGCAGTTTCAGCCAGATAATTTTTGCAAGAGGCACGTTTAAAAGAATAGTC